CGGGGGAGGCACCGGCCCGGAGAGGTCCATGGCCTCGCGGTTCCACGTGTCGATGTTCATGGGTGTGATCTGGAGCTGGGCGGGCGAGTCGACGACGAGCGCGTACCTGGAGGGTTCCGAGAAGGTCCCGAGAGGGTTCCGAGAGGGCTCCGAGAAGGTTCCGAGAAGGTTCCGAGAGGGGTCCGAGAGGGGTCCGAGAGGGCTCCGAGAAGGTTCCGAGAGGGTTCCGAGAGGGCTCCGAGGGGGCTCCGAGACGGTTCCTGGCAGGGTCCTCTGGCAGGGTGCTCTAGCAGGGTCCTAGCAGGGTCCTAGCCGACGGCGAGCGCGTACCCCGGTGCGAAGCCGTGCAGCGTCTTGCGGAACTCGCCTAGAAGGTTCCTAGAAGGTTCCCAGAAGGTTCCTAGAAGTAGCCGTGCCGCGTCTTGCGGAACTCGCCTAGAAGGTTCCTAGAAGGTTCCCAGAAGGTTCCTAGAAGGAGCCGTGCCGCGTCTTGCGGAACTCGCCGCCGTTCCCGGACGTCAGGGCGGCGTGCGTGGGGTGGCCTCGCACCTGATCAAGCCACGCGCCGCGTCGGGGACGCGTGTCAGGGGACTGTCAGGGGACTGTCAGGGGACGCGTCGGGGACGTGTCAGGGGACTGTCAGGGGACGCGTCGGGGGACTGTCAGGGGACGTGTCGGGGACGTGTCAGGGGACGTGTCAGGGGAGGGGTCGGGGACGTGTCAGGGGAGGGGTCGGGAAACGCTGCTCCAAAGGGGGTCGTTGGACGGGGCTGGCGCGCGCCGACCACTCCGGCCCCTCCACGACGTACTGCGGCTGGTCCCAAGGCAGCTCCGCGCCGCAGCCGGAGCGACGGCCAGCGAGATCCGCGGCGGCCGGGTCGTCTGGGCCGGAGAGGGAGACCTTGCGCACACGCGCCTCGGCGCCGATCAGCCAGCTGTCCCAGTGGTGGTTGTATGACGCGCTCATCGGCACGGATTTCTCCACGCCCTCAGACGTGCGGCGCACTTGATCGACTTCCCATCCGACCAGCGCCATCGCCGTCCCGTTGTAGCGCCGGACGATGTCGGCCGGCAGGTCGACAGGCGGGAGGGGCGACCACCAGACCTGCGAGTAGAGAGTGGTCATCGGCGGCGAATAAACCTCAAATGACTCGACGCCGCCGGGATAGTCGGCGAATCGCTTGATGTGGCTGGCCTTCCCGCCGGGCGTCTTTGAGAGCGGGTACTCTCCGTTCATGTTGTCTTGGTGTGATGGGGCAAAGCCTTGCATGGGCATGCCAGCGGCGACAGAACCCAGCGTCAATCCAGCCATCATCGCAAAGTCGCCCCCTGGGTTCCGGCTCCTAACCGGATAGGGGGTCTGCTTTGGCTGGCCCCTCCCAGATAGGTAGGTAGGTTGGTCTTGTTTT